GTTGCAGCTGTTGCCGCTGCAAAATGCTCTCGTCGCCGTTGCCGGAGGTTGCCCGACGCGGGCGCCGCCGTTCCTGTCTCGATGGACGACCGTCGAGGTTCGAGCCCCGACGCTCGGATCGCGGCCCAAAGATACCTAGATCCAAGACCAAAGATCCTCGGACCCAGGATCCTCGACGCCGGAGAATCCTCAGGCCCAAGGCCGCTGGCTCTCGATCCGACGATCAAGGGTCGGTCGAGCCTCGACGATGGCACGCTCGATGGTCGCGCCCCGCGACCCGCGGTCTGCGCCCGACGACGGGATCGACGAAGCTCGGCCCGCTATCCTGGGGCCGAGGACCCAAGACCCTCGGGCCCAAGATCGACAACCGTTGGATCTCCGCAGGATCCAAGATGATCGAAGATCCCAGGGACCAAGATCGCTGATCCACGATCCGCAGATCGAGGATCAACCCTCGACGATCGCACATTCGACGGTCGCACCTCGCGCCTCGCGGCCCGGGCCCGACGACGACGACGACGACGACGATGTCGCTCGCAATGTTCCTGACGTTCGGGTCCGACGCTCGGCTCGAACCAAAGGGCGCTTGCGCCACGAGCTGCTCGCCATCCTCGAAGAGCCGTCGCCTCGCCGCTCGCCCGGCACGGGCGCGCCTCAACGATGCTGGCCTTCTCGTCGAGGCGGCCCATCAAATGAATTTCTGCTTGACCTGCTCGGCGGGGAACCCACCCAACTCGGTGCGCCAGGCGTCGAGCGGCACCTGCTCGGACGTCTGGCCCCGGAAGAAAGCCATGTTCGGTGGCGCCGAACGGTCGGTCCGGCTCGAACAGCAGCGGGGGGGCGGGGGGGCGCAGCTGCGGGGAGGGAACATGGGGATGAGGAAGGAGCCGCACGTTCGTGTTGTGCGGAGCTGGAATGACGAGAATCCCATCGCCCTGCCACACGTTCGTGACTGCGGGACGAGGAATGGCGAGAATCCCATGGCCCTGCCTCACGTTCGTGACTCGGGAAAGCTGAACTAATGAGAACCTCGTCGCCCTGCGACTCGTTCGCGATTTCGGAAAGCAGGTGTTCTGAGACCACAGCCCTGTCAAACGTTCGTGAGTTGAAAAAACTGTCATTGCGAATCCCATAGTCCTGCCATACGTTCGTGATTTGGGGAAATTGAACTTGCGAGAATCCAATGGCCCTGCCACACGGTCGCCACTGGGGAAACTGAAATCGCGAGAGCCTCATAGCACGCCACACGTTCGCGAACTTGGAAAGCTGAACCGGTGAGAATGCCATCGCCTTGTCACACGTTTGTGATTTAGGACAGCTGAAATAATGAGGAACCTATAGCGCTGCTACACGTCCGTGGTTTGGGGTACCTGAAGTTGTGAGAAGGCCATATCCCTGTCACACACTCGTGACTTGGGAAAGCTGAGGTAACAAACATCCAATTGCCCTTCCACACGTTCGTGACTTGGGAAAGCTGAAACGGCGAGAATCCGGCAGCCCTGCCACACGTTCGTGGCTCAGGAAAGCTGAAACAATGAGAACCTCGTCGCCCTGCGACTCGTTCGCGATTTCGGAAAGCAGGTGTTCTGAGACCACAGCCCTGTCAAACGTTCGTGAGTTGAAAAAACTGACATTGCGAATCCCATAGTCTTGCCATACGTTCGTGATTTGGGGAAATTGAACTTGCGAGAATCCAATGGCCCTGCCACACGGTCGCCACTGGGGAAACTGAAATCGCGAGAGCCTCATAGCACGCCACACGTTCGCGAACTTGGAAAGCTGAACCGGTGAGAATGCCATCGCCTTGTCACACGTTTGTGATTTAGGACAGCTGAAATAATGAGGATCCTATAGCGCTGCTACACGTCCGTGGTTTGGGGTACCTGAAGTTGTGAGAAGGCCATATCCCTGTCACACACTCGTGACGTGGGAAAGCTGAGGTAACAAACATCCAATTGCCCTTCCACACGTTCGTGACTTGGGAAAGCTGAGACGGCGAGAATCCGGCAGCCCTGCCACACGTTCGTGGCTCAGGAAAGCTGAAATGATGAGAACCCCATACGCACGTGATTCCGGAAGGCTGGAATTGCGATAATCCCAAAGCCATGCCACAATCCCATAGCCTTGCCACACTTTCGTGGCACCGCTGCTAAATAGCAACTTCGAATTGTATTTTCCCCGACGATACTGAAGTTCGGCCTCGCCGCCTCTCCCCCCCACCATCTGCGTCTCGGCCAGTGATAATCAAACCCAAGCCTGCATGTGGGGATGCATATCGTCGGGGGCTGTCGGTTAGTCTTCCCCTGCACGCGCCTGGATATCGGAGATGAGCTTGCTATCCGGGTCCAATCCTATTCGAGCTCACTCTAAACGAATCTTAGCCCGCAGGCGTAGAACGACTGTTCAAGAGGTTCAAAGATTTCCTGGAGCAGCCCCCACGTGCAACGCGCTCGACTGCCACAAACAGTGCAGCAGACCTCCCCAAGCGGTCTGAAATCAGACCGAACGTACTCGCTCGGACTACCCCTGCCTCGAAGGCCATGGGGGCTACTCAAAGTTCCTTGACGTAGGAGGATGAGATGCGCTATTACACTGCCAAGGTTCACCAGACTCAGCAATTCTGGCCTTGAGGCAAAAATAGCAGCGGCGCGCATGAACGAGCCACTGCAAGTGCACATAATGAAAAACAGAAAACGTGCGACGACTGCCACTATGTACGAACCCCCACCCGTTCATGTTCCATCCTCTTCCTCTTCCTCCTCCTCCTCCTCTTCTTCCTCCTCATCCTCAGCAACATCATCATACCCCCTTCCCTTTTTCCCTCCTCCATCCTTCCTCATTCCTTCCTCCTCCTCCTCATCCACCTCCTCCTTCTCCTCCTCCTCCTCCTCCTCCTCCTACTCCTCCTCCTCCCTCCTCTGATATTGCTCCTTGCCTCATTTTCCTTCCTTTCTACCACTCCTTCTCCTCATCCTCCTCCTCATCCTCCTCCCCTTCCTCAACCTCTTTTTGTCCTCTTCCTCCTCCTCCTCCGCCTTCTCCTCCTCCTCTGCCTCCTCCTTGTCTTCATAGTATGAGTATGTGCCTTAGTATTAGTACCAGTATTCGTATGAGTATTAATATTAACTGTAGTCGTAGACTTCCTCTACTGAAGCGTATAGTCGTATTAGTCGTATTGGTCCTCATCCTCGTACTACGAGGTCTTAGCATGAGTAACACTAGTAATAAGGTTATCACGATTAGTATGTGTATTACTCTGAAATTAAACTGTATGCCATTATTACTACTACTGATGCGAGTAACATAAGTAGTGTGTGGTATTGGTAGTTGCTTTAGTAGTGCTACGACTTGTATTCATGGTGTTCTTAGTATGATTCGCATTGTGATTGTTGTCATGGCGATGTTACTATTATTCGGCACTAGCATTCGTATGATTGCAGATGTGTATTACCTGTAGTATTATCATTCGTACTACTGTTATTACTCCTCCTCCTCCTCCTCCTCCTCCTCATCCTCGTCCTCATCCTCATCCGCCTCCTCTTCCTCCTCATCCCCCTCCACCTCCTCCTCCTCCACAACAACCTCCTCCTCCTCCTCCTCCTCCTCCACAACCTCCTCCTCCTTCTCCTCCTCCTCCTCCTCCTCGTTTTCTTCCTCCTTGTCCTCCTCGTTCTCGTCCTCGTCCTCGTCCTCACCCCCCTCCACCTCCTCCTGCACCTCCTCCTCCTCCTCCTCATATTCCTCCTCCTTTTCTTCGTCGTGTTAGTATTGTTCGTATTATTCGTACCATTATATTTCTTATTTGTATTACTACTAATCCTTAGTATTATTATTTAGATTACTGTTCTTTTTCATCTCATTACAACTCCTGTTACTATCATTATTATGACCCTTATGATTCTTATTATTAACACTATTGGTCCTCCGCCTCCTCCTCATCATCATCGCCCCTCTTTCTCTTCCTCCGAACTCTCGCGCTCGCTCGCATTTCCGAATGTTGCGATACCCCTGTCCTGGCAACTGCACCCCCCCCCGCCCTAACCAATTTTTCCGAGCTGACCCCAAGTCGGACTCGGGCGTCGGGCACCCGCCGGCAGGTCAGCCGACGCCGCCAGCGCTGATGGTCTCCGAAGTGGGAACAAGTTTGTGTTGCTGTCATGTGATGCTATAAGGACGCACGATAAGAATGCAAGGGCCTTGGAGGGCCATGTCCACACTTTGCGAGCGGGGCGCGGCCAGCGAGTTCGGCCAAGGATGTCCCGAAGGGGAAGGATGCGGGGGTACCCTTGGAAGGTCTACCCATCCATACTAGTTGACTGTATGGCATGCTCTGTTCTGCCACGTGTTATTATGTCATGTTATGTTCGATCATGCTCCGTCATGCTGTTTCGGTATGCGCTGTTGTGTTCAGTTCTGTCATGCTTGTCGAATGCACGGGTGGCGAATACTTGGGGTAGACTCGGCTGACCTGGGGATATGAGGAATATGGCGGCCGCGGTATGCAGGGTGGGCCGGTCGGAAAGTTTGCATTTTGAACCTGACGACCCCAACCTGTCGGGCTGAGGAAAAAACATGCAGAAGCCTCAACCCTGGATCCTCCATCCTCCTCCTCCGCCCCCTCCTCCTCTGCCGACGACGACGACTACCACCACCACAACGACGACGACGACGACGACGACGACCACAACGGCGAACGCGGCAGCGAACAACGACGACGACGACGACGACGACGACGACGACGACGACGACGACGACGGCGGTAGCGACGGCGACGGCGACGACAGCAGCCGCTGACACCGACGGCGGCAGCAACAGACGACAGATGATAGGAGAGGGAGAGGGAAGGAGGGCAGCAGGGAGGGAGGACGAGGAGGAGGAGGAGGCAAGAGGAAGAGGAGGAGGAGGAGGAAAACGGGGGAGGAGGAGGAGAAGGAGGAGGAGGACGACGACGACGAAGACGACGACGACGACGACGACGACGACGACGACGGCCGAGAAGCCTGCAAGTCGCCCTTGGCGGTGGCGCCGGTCTCCGACGCCAGGGCCTTCGCGGACTTGGCCTGGCCGAGCTCCTGGGCGGGCCGACGGGGAGGACAGAAAGGGAAGGGGAAGGCTTGAAGAGGGGAGGGAGAGGGAGGAGGAGGAGGAGGAGGAGGAGGAGGAGGAGGAGGAGGAAGAGGACGAGGAGGAGGATTAGGAAGAGGAGGAGGAGGAGGAGGAGGAGGAGGAGGAGGAGGAGGAGGAGGAGGAGGAGGGGGGGGGGGAGGGTGGACGAGGAGGAGGACGAGGAGGGGGACGAGGAGGACGAGGAGGAGGAGGAGGAGGAGGAGGAGGAGGAGGAGGAGGAGGGAGGGGTGTTTTTTTTATCACCCACCCCCAACAGGCGCCGCGGCTGTTTGACTCCATCCCAGCGAGAGCGGAGGACGACGAGGGAACGAGGGAGAAGCGGAGGACGACGAGGCCGAGGGGAAAGCAACGACAACCTCAAAGCGCAGGGACGACAACGCGGGAGGACAGGGCACAAGAGGGGAGGCGACAAAACGAGGAGACAGGACGAAAGGAGGACGACACGAGAAAAGCGCACTGAGGCCTGTCTCGAATCAGACCCTCAATCCCGAGGAAGACCAATAACTACCTGGAGATGTAGTCGAACCCACAATCCCACGTTCGTACCCCTAACCTTTGGACAACGCCTTGCGCATCAGCGCCTTGTATGCGGCCTCCAAGTATACGGTCGGCTCCTCGGAATTCGGGCGATATCTCCTCAACAACGCGGTCGGCACGAAAGCATCGGCCTCCGCCGCAATAGCCAGGATCTCAGCAGGGAGGTCACAAGCATCAGAGTGTTCGCCTCGACCAGGCTCAAGAACGAAACCAGAACGACGAGTCTCATGAAGAAGATCTGCACGACCAGATACAGCAGGCCCCCGAAGAAGATCTGCAGGACCTGCACGACCGTGCCCACCACGAAGATCTGCACATCCAGGCTCCTCACGGACCTTATCGGCACGGCCAGGTTCACCAGGAAGAACGCCCGCCTCGACCAGGCTCATGAAGAACACCGGCCCGAACACCAGGAAAAAATGCAGCAGGTTCAAGGACGGATTCGGTACCACGAGGCTCCTGAAGACGATCTGCTGCACGGCTAGACCCAGGGAGCCGCACAGCACAACCAGGCACACGAAAGAAGGTCAACACGACCATGCTCGTGAAGTAGTTCTGCACACCACAGCTCCGGCAGAGGAGCATGCGGAAAGACTCCGTGACCAGGCTCTTGAAGAGGATCGTCGCGGCCAGGCCCAGAAAGAGGAACGGGTAGAGGATCTGCACCGGCAGGCCCACGAAGGAGAACAACACGACCGACCACACTCAGGCAGGTCCACATCGCCTGGCCCCTGAAAAAGATCAGCACGACCAACCACAGGATGAAGAACTGCATCACCGAGCTCATGACAAGGGTCTGCGCGGCTAGCCTCCTGAGAAAGAGCCGCACGACATTCACGACCAGGTTAACAAAGGAGATCTGACGAGCAGGCTCTCGGAGCCCATCGGAATGACCCTGCGTAGGCGGAGGCTGTCCACCACCAGGCTCCAGAAGAGGGACATGAAGATGGACTCCGTGATCAGGCTCACGAAGTGGATCTGCCAAGCCAGGCTCAGGAAATTCTGAAGAGTGACAGTGCGTCCAGGCTCACGAACGAAAAAGGCACGACCACGCTCAGGAAGGTCCGCAGCGCCAACCATAGGAAAAAGATCCGCACGTCAGACTGCAGGAAGAAGATCTGCACCCCCAGGCTCATGACGAAGATATGGACGACTAGGCTCCTGAAAAAGTCCGCCACGACCTTCACAACCAGGTTCACAGTGAGGGTCTGCACGACCAGGCTCACGGGATCCGTCGGCACGGTCAGGCTCAGCAGGAAGAACAGTACGACCAGGCCTTTGAAGAAGATCGGCACGATCACCAGGACGAACGGCGAGCCCAGGACAACTATCCCTGCCAGGTTCATCACATTGGCCAGCAAGCTCACCAGCATCAAGAAAAAACAAGAAGATGAACGGTATCGGGCCGAGGAAGAACACCTCCGAAACCAAGCCCAGGCTGCAACTCGACGCCCCGCGTGACCACACGGGTATGCTCCATCAGACTGGCAGCAGCAGCTTGAGGGAGAGCACGAAGCAAGGCCTCGGGACCCTGCAAGACCTGGAGACCCATGTCGAACACGTCCGTCTGGGGGTCCTGCTCTCGGCAGCCATCAAAAATGTCGAACCATTCAGAGTGCGTGTGTGTGTGTCACTTGTGGTCTCCAAGTCATCCCTCGGGGAGCCGCCGCCTTCGATCTGCCGCCTCACCCACTCCAGCCTCGCAGCAACGACCATCGGCAGCAGCAGCAGCAGCGAGGCGCAAGTGCGCTCAGGAAGTCACGTGGGCAAGCAGGCACTTGAGCCAAAATGGTCAGGAGGAGGGGTGGGAGGGGGAGGGGGAGGATAGAAGAGGAAAAGGGGGAGAGCAGGCGGGCAGGAGGACGGGGAGAAGAAGGGGGAAGGACAGAAGTGAGAATGGCCAGGAGACGTAAGGAAGGGAGGAAGATCGAAACTATAGGATCGAGGAAACTGCGGATCGAGGATCTGGGTTTCTGAACGCTTGTGGCGGGTTGGACACCGCTGGAGGTCTCTGCGAAGGGACCTCCAGAGACCACTGGGAATCTTTTGGGGGGGCCGAAGGGGAGGAGGCGGAGGAGGAGGAGAAGGAGGAGATGACGAGGAGGAGCGACGAGGCGGAGGCAACGAGTAGGAGCGAGGAGGAGGAAGAAGCCACCGTCGTCTCCGTGCATACTAACTCCTCCTCCTCCTCCTTCTCATCCTCCTTGTCCTACTGCTACTACTACTGCTACTATTAAGATTACTACGACTACGACTAAAACTACTACTATTATTATTACTACTACTATTACTACTACTACTACTACTACTACTACTACTACTACTACTACTACTACTACTACTACTACTGCGACTGCAACTGCTACCACCACTACTACTACTACTACTACTACTACTACTACTACTACTACTACTACTACTACTACTACTACTACTACTACTACTACTACTACTACTACTACTACTACTACTACTACTACTACTACTACTACTACTACTACTACTACTACTACTACTACTACTACTACTACTACTACTACTACTACTACTACTACTACTACTACTACTACTACTACTACTACTACTACTACTACTACTACTACTACTACTACTACTACTACTACTACTACGACTACTACTACTACTACTACGACTACGACTACGACTACTACTACTACTACTACTACTACTAACACTACTAACACTACTACGACTACTACTACTACTACTACTACTACTACTACTACTACTACTACTACTACTACTACGACTACTACTACTACTACTACTACTACTACTACTACTACTACGACTACTGCTACTACTACTACTACTACTACTACTACTACTACTAC